CATGGCCATTGCCAGTCACAATTGGTATTCACAATAAAATCTCTTATTCCAGTCTTAGAATCTTTAAACAATTTTTCAATGCTGGTATAGTAGAAAGCACAAATTTGGAAAATACATACTGGTTCAAATCTCGACTATTATACTGTTGGAGTTTTTTGTTTTGTTTTTTAAGGATACAAAAATACTCTGTCACATTGGTATTTATCAGAATTTGCACCTAAGGAAATACTGGCAAAAGATTAATGAAAGATAATTATTCAGTTATATTGCTCTCTTATCAGTATTCTTTGTTAGAAAAAGCTACTTCTTGGTAAGTTAGATGCGTTTTGTCACTATATTTTAAGGTTTGAAAGTCTTTATTGTGTTCTTATCATATTTCTCTACTTCAAAATTTGAAATATTTTAAATTTTCTTTGATCATTGGGCTTTATATTAAATAATTCTTGGTTGAGTTATTAAAATGAAAACACAATTGATAAGCATTATTTATAACATCCCCAAACTGGAAACAATCCAAATGTTCATCAGCTGGTATGAATAAATAAAGAAAATGTCATATATTGTACAATAGATATATTTTTAATCAATAATAAGAAATAAAAGGAACAAATTACTGATAGATGTAATAATATGATTGAACCTGACTCATGCTAAAAAGGAATACTCATTCATGGACAAATGAAGCAACTGGGGAAAAGAATCCCAACTATCCCATTGTGAAGTTCAATTTCCACAGCCACCTCAGCCACCTTTATTTGTGAAACAAGGAAATAAAGGCATACTTCTCTTAAGAAAAAAGAAAGGCACTTCCAACAAATGTGGACTTTGTATGTTGGGTATCTTTGGATAATGGTTTTTATACTGATTCAATCAGTTGTGTTGTGTTTTTTTGGGGGGTTGGTAAATTTATGCAGTATGTAGCCATCACTACAACCTGTTTTAGAATACTTCCATCATCACCAAAACATTCCCCATGACTATATATGTAGTCGGTCCCACTCCCACCCCTGGTGAAGAAAGGGTGGGGAATTGTTGGGTGCCCATGTTTCCCCTGGAGCAGCATTATCAGACAGATTTTGGATCTTTGTACTTCACATTTTCTTAGTAAAAGTGAAACATTAGTTCTTCCTTTGACTCTTCTGTTTGCATTTTGTAGAAGTACTCTCATCCATGTGCCTCCATTTCTTAGAAAACAAAGACCTTTTTTTTTTCTAGTTTATTTACTTCACAGACTGAAAAGTTCAGCCATTGTAGATTTTCTAAATTATCAGTTTTCCATTTTAAGTTTCCTATTTCAGGTCTGAGCCCATTTACCAAAAAAAGGGACATGTCTCCCTTTACCTCAGCTCTTGGGTCTATGCCAGAATATTTTTGAAAGTTTCCTGAAGTCAATTTTTATTTTGTTTCCTATTGAATCATTTTTATTTTGTTTACAATTTTGATTCTTAACCAATGTACTCCTAAGAAAGACTTCTCAAATAGTGTATTTCCTAAATAGATTCTTGTTCTCTGAAGGTCAATTTTTAAAATAGGTTATTTAAATCTCCTGATCTTTCCTATCCTGCTGCTTTTAACCATTTTCTTATATTGGGGGTTTAATAATTAAGTTGGTATAGCTGTGGTATTCCAGAATATTAAGTGTCTAACAAATTCTTGAATTCTGCAACAAATTTCTGTCAGTCTTCCTCAGATTTAGGAAAATCCTTAAAGTATAACCTTGACCTAAATTCCAGACCAGGGTTTAAATTCAAGTTCTATAGATCTCCCTTCTACCAATTCAAAGAGGCTATTGTATAATTGTTCCTTTCCTAAGAAAAAGAAAGGTTGTTCATTTCACACATAAGGGGTAGAAGCAGAAGGAATAGAAGGGTCATGTGGGTAATGTAAATAGAATGCTTCAAGGAGGGTGGATTTCTGAAGGTTTGAACAGGGGAAGACTAACTAGAGACTGTCTTAGTCATTTTGTTTCAGGGCCCCAGAATAACAACTGAAATTGATTATCGAATGGTATTTTGTCTCATAATTTTTTCTATAGTTATATTTCCTCTTAAAGTATTATTTATGGCATATCCAAAGTTGACTGTATGTCCAGTTGTTAAGTCCCAGTTTTTGTCATTTACCAATGTAATAAGTGCAAGAGTTAAGGTTATTGGAGGTTTATAAAAGACACAGGCATTCTGAGAGATGTTTGTCACTTTGACAATGTAAAGCCATGACAAGAAAGATATTACTACAATCAAGAAAGGGCTGCATGTATTACTAGTCCTCTAGAAATAATTATGTTTAAAGTAAAGCAACTTGAAACTCTACACAGGGCTTGTTTTCCAAAGAAGAAGTATTATTTAGAGGAGCAAAATTATAAGCCCTACCTATATTATGTGTTATAAAACTGTTTTGAAAAGTGAGGCTTGTGAATAGAAATGTAGTGCTCAAGTCACAATCCACTTAAAACTTGCAACAAATACAGATAAGTTAAAAAAAAAAGAAAAAGAAAGGGTATTAGGGTAATCAATTGGGAAAAAGTTGGAACTTATCTGGGTGATAGAAGTGTTTTAAATCTTAATGAGGGGTATGTTTATAGATTACATGGATGTTGGCATATATTAAAACTTAACAGTAATGCTTAAGATCAGCTTGTTTCACTGGATGTAAAATATTCCTAAATAAAAATGATTTGAATGCTTAAAAAAATTTTTTAGGGGGAGGGTGAGGAATAAAAACTTACCTATTAGGTACAGTGTACACTATTCTGGTGACAGGGACACTGAAAGCCCTACTTCAGCATTATACAATTCATCCATGTGACAAGAACAGTTGTACTGCCTAATATTTTGAAATAAAAATAATTAAAAAAAAATTTTCAAATAAGTATGTTCTTACAAACATTAAACATTCTTAGATTTCCTGACCTTGCATAGATTAAGAAGGGGCCATATAACCAACAGCCCCACATTTAACTTTATAATGTAGATTAAACAAATATGAGTATCTTTGTAAGTCAGTAAGATAGTGATTGTCATCACGAAGACTTTATAGGTAACTACTGGTAAAGTTTCAACAGTCACTTCCCTTTACCTCAGTTGGTCATTGGTTTTACTTAGCATCAACCTTGAGTGCTTGGGACCAGCTTGAATTGGACTGGAGAATTACTGGGCCTAGCCTCCATCCATTCCCTATAGAACACTCCCCTATTCAAAAAATGTAAACAAGACAGCCCAGGACAAAAAAAACTAAACACATGAGAGAAAACTTTTCACAAATAGATAAACAGAACCAAGCAAGTAGCTGAAGAATTAAACTAATGGCAAACTTATTTACCGAATAGTACATACAACTCCAAGTCAAAACCAAAGGACATTATACAAAGACCTACTTGGTTACAAATTTTAGGTTAACAAAATTAATTCATCAACGGGAGCTCAAGGAACCAAATTAGTAGTGCCGTCATTTTTAAGACCAATTCATCTGATAGCAAATTCAAAGAATAAACAAAAGTTGAGCACAAGGAACCATTCAGTATACCTGTTGTCTAAAGGTTCCTTGTAATGATGCCAAATGAGGGTCTTAAGTGAAACTGTGAAAGTGTGAGAAATAACATTGAATTTCTGAAAACACAAAGTTGAAGTTATTTGATTACTTAAGGAAAAAGCTATCCTGGTTAAATAGAGCCTTCCTTGAACAGAACAGACTACTAGCTTTACAGGGTTTCTGGGAATTAGGAAGCTCAAAGATTGGCAAACTTTTAAAGGCAGAAGTGAGTTAATGTTAGCTGTAGAAACACTTTCAAGTGAGTCAGTTGTTGATTGGTTGACACTCAGATTTGTGTGTTCAATGAAGTGAGTCCAGTTTTTGATTGACTGACTTTCAGAAGTAAGGGGCCATCACTAATTGGTTAGTTTGCAGCATATTCTCTGAGGCTGATTCAATTTGTTTAAACCAGTTTTAGTAGTTACTTGCTACCATAACTTAAAAACTCATTCTTGATTAAGAAAATTTAAAACCTGTTCTGGTGGCTACTGACCACTTAGCTTTTTCTAGGAATGTGAGAATTTTATTCTTATGTAATTCCTAACCCTGGAAGCTTTTAGCTTTTTTTTTTATTCTTATGTAATTCCTAACCCTGGAAGCTTTTAGCTTCTGTGTATCTCTGTACTGAAATTTCATAGTGATAAGCCTTGGTATGGGTTGTTTCTTTTTGGTTTTATTGTTTTGATTTCTATTACTTCATATATTAAATACTCACTACAATTTTTCAGCCTTGGAACTGATATTTGGTCGTCTGCTTCCTTCCTCTGCCAACTTATTTACATTTGCCATTCATTTATCCAGGAGTTGGCCAGATAGTAAATATTTAGGCTTTGTGGACCAGATGGCCTCTGTTGTAACTACTTTGCTATTACAACATAGAGGAAGCCATAGACGATACACAAATTAATGGGTATGGCTGTGTTTCAGTAAAACTTTATACAACAAAGCAGGTGATAGGCCAGATTTGCTTTCACACCTCTGTCCTATCCCATTTATCTTTCTAGGAGATTAGCTTTATGAGGGCAGGGATTTTTGTCTGTTTTGTTCATTGGGTATATATCCTGCACTCAGTAAGCATTCACCTACTGGTGGTTCGTGGTTTCAGATGGTGCATAGGAAATTTATATTTGTTTCCTGTTCTTTTCTGGAGTGGTTTATGAGAAAGGAATGTAGACATGTCTGTCACTGTCTTCTTATGTCCAGTAGAATACCTTTCGTGATATATTTCAGTTCCCCCTTTTTCTCTTAATATTTTATTCTTATTTAAGTTAGGGCTGAAAGTCGTGTCTGTAATTCTCTAGTTTCCTTCTACTTCTGAGCATCCTTTAGTAAGTCTGTTTATGGAGCACTTCATAGTAGTGTTGTATAGTAGTCATTTTTAAATAAATCTGCTTCCCTGAATGTCTTATTTATATAAGAAGCACATGAACACAGAAACTTTACTTAAATTCTTTTTTTTTTTCTTTAATAAGGTACTAAATTTGACAGGTTTGCATCATGCGTGAGTATAAGCTAGTCGTTCTTGGCTCAGGAGGTGTTGGAAAGTCTGCTCTGGTAAGTCCAAGGCATTCTTTTTCCATTGAGTTTTAGGTTTTGATTATTTGTCTTTGTTGAAGTGAAATCCCATAATGACTTTAGAAGTGATATCATATTTTTCTTGTAATTTTACTGAAATTTTAGTATATCTGGGCGGATCATATTCTCTCTGGAACATTGGTTCTAAACCAACATGAGGTACGCCAGAATATAGTTTGGACTAAGCAGAGAGAGTGAAAGCATATAAATATGTGTCTGTTTGCATTTTAGAGCCAAATAGGAATGAATTTTGTTCTTTATCCCTATGAGTAGGTTTATACTATGTATTTTATGTTAGAAAACATCAAAGTTTATAAAAAGTCTTTAATTAACCTTTGTCCAGTATTATTTTAATGGCCATGTTTTCTGCATCAAGGAATGGTATGGCAAAAATTAAGACACAGCTTGGTGGTGAGGGTTCGGGAAGGGGAGAAACTTAGGGAAAATAAGTTGATGAATATTTCAGAGTTTAGCAAAGCCCCACAGGAAGATAGATTGACCTTCTCTTTCTCCCTGGTGAGATAAACTATCTTACTTGGCCACTTAGAGTGCCATCTAATTAAAATTCAAGTTTGAACCCTTAAGACTGAAATAGTAGACACTTAAAATTTTTAGAATGTATGATCTCTAAACTTAGAATTACCAGTAAGGAGCATAGTGACTATTAATTTGGGGGGGGAGGGTTAAAGAAAAGCAAGCTTTCTAAGATAATTTTCTCATCAAATTCATTTCAGATGTAGTATTGGTTATTTTCTGTCCTCAATGATATAATGACCTATGTGAAATCAATAGTTTAAAATGTATAAATTCAGGCCGGGCGCGGTGGCTCACGCCTGTAATCCTAGCTCCTGGGAGGCCGAGGCGGGCGGATTGCTCAAGGTCAGGAGTTCAAAACCAGCCTGAGCAAGAGCGAGACCCCGTCTCTACAAAAAAAAAAAATAAAAAAATAAAATAAAATGTATAAATTTGAATTTGTTTTTTTCTTTAGAAGTATAATGGTATGTTAATTTTTTTCAGACTGTACAATTTGTTCAAGGAATTTTTGTTGAAAAATATGATCCTACGATAGAAGATTCTTATAGAAAGGTATATATTACTTTAGAAGGCTTTTCTTTTGATTTTAATATAAATATTTGTTTTTAGCTTTATAATTATCAAATATTGTATACAAAGTAGAATGAAGAAACAGTTAATTCATAAAATTAATGGGAAGAGTTCATTATTGATTATTTTCTGGCATTGCATGCTTACCAGTTTAGGAAAATCGTAAATACTCATAAACACGCAGTCACACATTCGCAGAATTGTGTTTATCCTAACCCCAAAATTGTAATTGACACACAAACCTTAAAGCATACTATCCATTTCAAGTGGTAGCTCCATGTTTCCCTCTAGAAAGACTGATTACTCCCAAGCTCTCTTCTTTTTAACCTAGAGATAAGCATACAAAAGTCTCCCTAAACTTCCTACTTATTAACTCCTTGAGAAAGTGCCACTGCTCACCTGCTTATCTGAAATGCTTGGAACCAGAAGTATTTCAGTTTTGGGATTTTTTTTTTTTTTTTAATATTTGCATAGACATAATATGTTGGGGAAGGGACCCGAGTCTAAACACAGAATTCTGTTTATGTTTCATATACACTTTGTCCACATAGTCTTGAGGTAATTTTATACAATATTTTTTAATAATTTTGTGCATGAAACAGTTTTGACTGCATTTTGACTGCTACCTGTCACATGAGTTCTGGTGTGGAATTTTCTACTTTGGCGTCGTGTTCCACATGTGGCTTAAAAAGCTTCAGATTTTGGAGCATTTCAGATTTTCAGATTAGAGATGCTCATCCTGCAGGAAGTTGAGTCCCTGTGTCCACTAACAGCAGGTGACAATAAAACTATGTGCAGTAAGCAGAGAGTTGTCTTCCCACCTTTAGGTAGCAGCTAGCCTAGCCTGCTATTGTACAAATACTGTGTTTCCATTCCTCCCTGTGTGTCCACAGTCTACCAAAAAGCTGGAAACTCCTTCCTGTACTCCAGCTGTGAAGCAATATTAATCTTTTCTTTCTACATCTAATTCTAAATAACTTTTTCTCTCGAATATATTAGGTGAAAAAGGGTAGCAAGGATATGTATAAAATTTATTTAGTGGCTGTGGCACTACTGGCTTGCTACCAGAATTCTCTTTCCAGCATAGTGAGGGGATATAGTTATCTAGAGAAATGAGGTATATCAAAAGTATTATGGGAATGTTGTGGTAGAATTACTTCTAATATTGCTGGTTTTATTTATTTGAGCAATTTTGAAAGTATTCTCTAGAAATAAGTGCTGAGGGATTCATATTGAGAATGGATCCTATAGGTATCCTTGTGTTGACTTGAGAACACATGGCTTTTGAACGTAGTATACAATTTGGGGGTCTATACACCTTGATTACTTAGCTGTTTTTCCTCCTTTTTTGTTAAAGTAGTGCTTGATATTATCTTGTAAAGTTACTATAATCTATGGCTCTGTTTATGATATGATTTATTAGCTTTTGTGTATATTAAGGTGACTTATGTACATAAAAAATTAAGCTGTATTTTAATTTTTCTCACAGCAAGTTGAAGTAGATGCACAACAGTGTATGCTTGAAATCTTGGATACTGCAGGAACGGTATGTAAAACAAAGTACTAAGTGTATGTAGTTTGTATAATATCGACTTAATAAATGTTAATACTGTATAGACAGATATTAAGTTTATTTAAAAGTAGTACTAGCATTAAATGTTAACCTGTTTTTCTTATTCTCTTGAATTCTACTCTTTTTATATTGCACTTTGTGATTACAGAGGGTCAATTATTGAAAAATTAATTAGAAAATTTGTTAGGAAAATTTTCAATCTCACTAGTACTTTTAAAACTATATTACCATATTGCAAATGATGTGGAAAATACTTGGGCCTACATTCATTCCTCAGCCAGCTGTATGAAGTATTTTGATTGTTTCCTCCTTCAGAGTATTAATAAACCAACTAGCTTTATTAGATATTTGGAGGTGATGGGAAGATTTATTCTGGATGTGTGGTGTTCATTCACCTAATATTTGAGTACCTGATATGTGCCAGGCATTCTGTTCTTACCCTCAGATGCTCAATACTCTAGTGAAGGAGACATGTGGGAGCATGACATGGTAATGTGATATGCATAAGCATGCTGATAGACCCCCACAGAACCAGAGCATGTGAGCTACCTGTAACTTGAGGATACAGTTGGGGTGCTCTACACATTATGACACATTAAAAAGCTGCCTTAAAGTAGCTTTGGGGGACAAAATATTTCTGTTCCACTTGAGTATATTTGTTGTATATAAATCTACTTTGTGTTATTTTTAAATAAATCTATTTCTTAAAATATCAGTTTTTCAAATAGTATCTTGCTATGGACTTTACTTTTAAGAAGTGTTATATAATACTACAGTATTCTTCATTGAGCTATAATTATAGACTTTGAAAATTATCAAATTAACTGCCAAAACATTTCTTGTTTTTTAATGTTCCTTTCTTTTCTATTTTAGGAACAATTTACAGCAATGAGGGATTTATACATGAAAAATGGACAAGGCTTTGCATTAGTTTATTCCATCACAGCACAGTCCACATTTAATGACTTGCAAGATCTGAGAGAACAGATTCTTCGAGTTAAAGACACTGATGATGTGAGCTTAGTCTTTAACAAGTATATTTTATTTCAAAATACTTATTATAATGACATCCAGATTTAAAGCTTAAATTTAAACTCAGTTTAAAGTTTATGTACGGGAGGGGTTGTTTTTCAAAAGCTTTGTCCTTACAAGTCAAAAATATATCTTTAACATTCATATATGTTTTCAAATATAAATCATGTGGAAAGTGAGAAAATCCCTCCTTTTCCATTATCCTCTGAAAATACCCTTCCTGTTTTTAAACATGCATTTGGTGGAGAAGGAGAGCTGTGGGAAGCAAATGTTACTAATTGAATGATGTTCTGGCCACGTTTCTGGTAGATTTAAGATCCTTTTTAACAAGATTCAGACATTCAAATGAACGTGCTCAAGCAACAGTGGCAGAAGGAGCATAATAATAATTTTTAAAGGAAGTCATCAAATACATTAGATTCTAACATTAATTTAGGTGCCCCTTCAGAGTGTACCACAATGGAGTTCAATCCTATGTGAAACATCAAAAAGATTATTTTGTATCATATTGCATATAGCAGTGGTTCTCAAAGTTATCTTGCATCAGAATCACCTATAAGACTGGTTAAAACATAGATTTCTGGGCCCATCCCCCAGAGTTTCTAATTCAGGAGGGCTGGAGGGCCTTTGCATTTCTAACAAGTTTCCAGGTGGTGTTGATGATGCTAATCTGGGTACTATAGTTTACCTTGGCACTACAGTTTAATTGTAGCAATAACAAATATTGTGAGAACTGGGAGACACCCATGGTAAATGCTGCCATTTTCTAGATTTCTGAAACAAGGGAATTTGGGGGGACCCTACATATTTACAACAACCTCAGTGAGCATTTTTCAATTAGTAAATCTGTTTTCTTTTGCCTCTGGTAACTACCATAGTTTTCTTCTATCAGTTGTATGAAACAAGTATTTATTAAAATGCCTAATAATAAATTCTATTCCTAAAGAGCCAAAATTATTTTCCAGTTGGGATTTTTTCCAAAAATCCTTTAGAAAACCAATTATTAAATGGTTAATAGTGGTTTTGTAAAGTAAGTTTTGTTTTTCCCTATAGTATTCTTTTACTTAAAATTATAAACTTCACATATATTCGGCTACATGATGCCATTAATAAGTGGTCTTGATTTTAATAAATTAAGTTGATTTAATTTTTTGGCTTTTTAATATAAGACTATATGAGAAACTAAAAATTCTACTTTAGAGGTCTTCCAAATTTCTCCTTTTTGTGTTGTGTAGTTGAGAATGCTTATTTGATAAATGCATGTTGAGAAACCAGAAAACTTGAAGTTGATTCACACCCTTTAGAGAAACATTTGTAAATACTGAAGCATATTGGCTTTTCACACTAACACCTTCTTGTACTTCCTTTTTAAAAGATTGTATGTTTTTCTTACTATAATTAGCTATAAATCCATTGTGATATAATTTTAAGGTTTTTTTCCCTCTTTTATAAGTAAGTCATAGCTTGTATCTTTTTCTCTTTTCTTCCCTTTGGAGTTATCATTTGACATCTCCATGAGAGAAGACAGTGGAGATAACTGACAGTATAATTGACATGAAAGTCAGTACCTTTTATCTTACAAATTAACATTGTTAAGGCTTTCATATTTTAATGATTTTATTACACATTATTAATTTAGTATTTTATTTGGCATTATATATGAAAAGTAATCATTGGGCTTGCCTCTTAAAGTTTTTTTATTTGAATTTGTATAGCATATTTACTTATTTATTTTTACCCTTACAAATGTATTTTTAGGTTCCAATGATTCTGGTCGGTAATAAGTGTGACTTGGAAGATGAAAGAGTTGTAGGAAAGGAACAAGGTCAAAATCTAGCAAGACAATGGAACAACTGTGCATTCTTAGAATCTTCTGCAAAATCAAAAATAAATGTTAATGAGGTATGGTCAGATATACTTAAGATAGCTCTTCATTTGGAATACAACATCCAGAATTAATGGGAAAAATGTGTATGTATTAACACAACCGAAAGTTAATATTTACTCGGTGATATATTGATCTCATAGGCAAAAACACTTATGTTAAATATATGCATGTAGCAAATAAGCAACAGTACTATTTGAGTCTCTTTATCAAATGCCGATACAGTGAAATTTGCCATGAAAAAGGGAGACTGGTCAGAAAAGTTAGGGACAGGGAAAACAGATTAAGACTTCAGCTATCTATAGGATGTCATTATGTAAAACATAGGGACTAAAATTCAAAAAGGCATGCATGGTTCTTGAAGGGGCTTAAAGTCATGTTATAGAATAAAAACATAAAAAGATTTGAAGAATAAAGGAGTTTTTTCTTTGCAAGATGGTAAATGTTGTAATTGAACTAGGATAAGATCTCTGCAGCTCTTTCAACTAAGTATTTAAGAGCAATTTTAACCATTCTCCAATGTAAAGAAACAAAAAAGAATTTGGCAGGTGGCAGTAAAACACCTGGTTTTACTCTCATTCCTTAACTGAACAGAAATAGTTGCTTTTGTGGAATTCATTTATATCGATAGAAATCACTAGTTTTTCATTTTTTGTTTTTGGGGTTTTTTTCTTCTGTAAATTAAAAAAAATAATATGTTTGCAGATCTTTTATGACCTAGTGCGGCAAATTAACAGAAAAACTCCAGTGCCTGGGAAGCCTCGCAAAAAGTCGTCATGTCAGCTACTTTAATATACAAAATGCATTGTAGCTCTGAGCCAGGTATGTTAATTTATCTTTCCTCTAACTTTTAATCACTTAACTTCATTAAGGGCACTCTTGTCATGAAAGCAAGTATAGAATTTTTTTGGTTCTAAAAAATAAATGGTTACTTTTTTTCAGTATATCTGAGTTAGTATGATATCCTATTAAAATAACTGATATCCTATTAAAATAATTGTTTCATTTACCTATTATCATAAGATATTCCACACAAGTGAATATTCTAAACAAGTTCATTCATTATATACTTATGCCCTAATGGTACATTGGTTGGTGCTGGTGGATAAGAACAACCTTCTCTCCTTGCCTTTTAATTAGCTTAAGCTAATTAAGGTGTACTGAAAGACAATTGCAAAAAGTGATAAATACTGTGATAGGATAAATCCGGCATAGTACTACTAATAAAAACCCCTGATACATTTATCACGTGCCAGGCAATCTTAAATACTATCTATATATTAATTGAATTCTCACACATGCCTAGAGGCAAGAACTATTACTATTCCCGTATTACAGATGAGGGAACTGTGGCACAGAAAGATTGTTACTTGTTCAAGCCCTGCAGTTAGTAAAAGGAGGGCCAGAATTTGAATAGGCAGGCTGATTCCTGAGACCATGCTTAGCCACTATGCTATTATGGATTGCATAGGAGCATGTAATTGGGGCACCAAACCTGTCAAATGTGAATTAAGGATTCAGGGAAAGTGTCAGAGTAAGAGGCATCTAAGCTGAGATCTGAAGGACAAGTAGAAATTAGCTATGTTGGGGGTGAAGAATTCCCAGAGAGAACCACAAATACAACCCAGAGATGAGATAGCAAAGTAAAACTGAGCATACATTTTTATGTAGGTTTTGAAAACAATCATATTAAATGAGGTTAATACTTATCAAGCAACTAGATCAGTGCCTGGCACATCATAAACTATCAACTGTTTGCCAGTGATAATGGTTTCCTATTCAGTTATTAAACCATTTATTTATTTTACACTTATCCTTGAGAACTTGCATTTGCCACTCTGCTTCTTTGTATGTTAAATGACCCCGTACTACTGTAGCACTTTGATACTATATCTTTTTAGAACTTTTGTCAGTATCCTCCATTTAGGACTTTCTGTGTATATCCTTTCATTCTGATATCCTCTCATTCCTGACCACATGCCCATCCTTAGCAGCACACATGTGCCTGAACTCACACACTCCCATCTGTCCTCTCCAATTTGCTGCATTCAGTCTATTAGGATGTAGAAAACTAGATTGCAAACCTCATTCAGACTCAGAATGAGGACCTAAAGTTCTAGGCATTTATGAAAATTGTTTCAGCAGCCATACCTATACTAACCACCCTTCTGGAGCAAGTATTTAATAGACAGTTTTGATTTTACTTCTTTTATGTCACTCACAATTTTTTTAAAAACTTTGTGATTTTAGTGTAATACCATCTTTTTCTGACAACCATCTTAAAGTTAAATGTTTTTTTTTCTCTTTACTCTTTGGAAGTTAATGCACAAAAATTTGCATAAAGATACGTCATCTTTTGGGAATGAAAAGATGAAAATGCTTGCCATAAATTGTGATATGTGATGACTAGAACAAGAGCCTGTATTATATTCATTTCTAACACTTTAAGACTGTTGTCTTACTGTTTCCTTTGGATCTTTAGTATACTCTTTTCAACTCATGTTTTCAATTAATTTATCTTTTTCATTTTGACAGGTCTGAAGAACTGTTGCCCAATTCAACAGTGCCAGCATTCCAACTTTGTTAAACCTACCAACATCTTAAATGGACTTTCCTGTGGTGGTACCCTTTAAGAGGCGGATGAAAGCTACTATATCAGTTTGCACATTCTAATCACTTTCCAGTATCACAAGAGAGATTTTTACTTATATAATAGTCCTAGAGTACGCAGCTGGTAAAACCAGAGGCTACATCCAGTATTACTGCTAAGAGACATTCTTCATCCACCAATGTTGTACATGTATGAAAATGGTGTACTGTATACTTTAACATGCCCCATACTTTGTATTGGAGAGTACAATAATGTAAATCCTAAAAGCACCACTATTTTAGCATAATAAAAGAAAGTCCAAAGAGCTCCTATATAGACTACTCCAGATAACTTCGCTTCTTTGATACTTGTAGCTTATTGTAATTTTTTTTAAGAAATTCAAGGTCATTATCATTGTATTGTACAAAATAAGCGCTTTGATTAACACAGCTGTATAGTTTTTTTAATTTTTAAAAAACCTGTGGAGACAGTGATCTTGTCTTTAAAATATGATAGTCCTTTCAGTATAATGTCTTAGATTAAAGACGTTGCCTTTAATATCTGTTGGGAAGGAAATGTCCAGACTTTTCAAATCTCTTATTATGTTTCCTTTTTTGTTTACATAGGGAACAATGTTTATAGTTGTGTGTACAGTGGGGGTCTACAACAAGAAGTGTATATTTTCAAACAATTTTTTAATGATTTAACAATTTTTGTAAATCATTTTCAGGCTTCTGCAGCTGTAGATTCTCACTGTGAATCCCTTGCTTGCTCATGCATAAGTGTATTTGCAATACCAAATATACAGGTTTAGTATTTTTGCCTGTTAGTGATTGTTTCACACGTGTAACGTTTTGGTTGAGATGTTAAATGGTGGACGAGTACTGTGGATGTGAATGTGGGAAGTAATTTTAATCATGTGTAATTGGTCACAAGGCCTAATTTGCAGTAACTATTGCTGTTTTATTTAACAATGCCTTGTTGCTTTGTATGCATTAACGTTTGGATGTAAAGATTGTGTGTCTATCCAACAGGGAGCCACAGTATTTAAATTGACCAACCTAATGTTACAACTACTTTGAGGTGGCCAAATGTAAACTAAAAGCCTTAATTAAAGTGGTGCAATTTTGTATAACTTAGCATCAGTAGTTCAATAAATTTGGATTGCCATGCAAGGGCTTGCATTATAATTACTTGCCACTTTGGATGTGTTTTGTGTAATGTTTTAACAATGCTAGTAAATAAATATGGGTTAACTTCTTTTTAAATGTAATAGGTGCATTTTACACAGTGTGGTGTGGTTTCATAATTTAACATTTGAGCAGGCCAGACGTATTCATTAATTACAGTAATGATGAGTGAAAAATGTCAGGACTTTTTTTTTTTTTTTTAGTATTGTTTGAATATCCACACAATGACCTTTTGAACTTTTCCTTGAGAAAGAATTTTGTAAATCATGCCATATTAGTTATGAACAGATGCATTTGGGTCATATTCAGTAGCTTATTGAGGTAAAGGAGAAAGGATTGAAAAATACTTTGACAGATGTTACACCTTGGATTTTTTTTTTTTAAAGGATGAAATTATACTTAGAATATTATGATTATAGAAATCTTTGACATGGACTCAAAGTACTATTATTTTTAGGGAACAGGTCTTTGTCTTACGTGTGCTATAATTCAATTCTTCTGTGAAATTTGTAAAGGACCTCTTAAACTTTTTCAAGCTATTTGCCAGCAACTGGAGCAATTCATTTGTGATACTGTGTAATTTAGAGGTGTGTGCCAATCCCCTAAATACATGCTATTTGGGACATTTAAAGGCTTCCATTTTAAGAAGGAAAAAAAAAGTCTTATTCCTTACATATTTAACAGAGTTTCATGTATTAAGAGGTCTAAAGAAAAAAATGTTCTTCCAGAAACTACACTTAACTAAGAGTTTTGTCAGAGTTTTGGTTTTATTTATACTCATTTGGGCAAAAATTAAGCCCAAAAAAGATAGAACTATGGAGCACTAACATCACTTAATGTTACTATGTCTTGTTACATACATTGAGGACACCACCATTAATTTAAGAAATGTTGCCTACCAGCTATAGTACTGTGCCTGTAGAACTAGGCATGGTTCTAGGCTCTTAAGAACAGCTAAATATTCATTCAACAAATAAATTTAAGTACTTAAGTGTTAAGAATTGTTCCTAGGCCTAAGGATGCAGCAGCAACCAAGATCAACCATAAAGCACTGCCCTCCTAGAATATATACTCTGTTTCTCACCCTCAGCACTGTTGACGTTTTGTACTGGATAATGTACTGTGGGCCTGTCCTGTGCATTACAGGATTTTTAGTAGCATCCTGGTCTCTGCCCACTAGATGCCAATAACACCACCCCCAAGTTGTGACAATCAAAAATGTCTCCAAGCTGGTTGTGGTGACTCATGCCTTTAAGCCCAGCACTTCATGAGGCTGAGGTGGATCACTTGAGGCCAGGAGTTCGAAATCAGCCTGGGCAACATAGTGAGACTTCTATCTCAAAAAAAAAAAAAAAAAGTTTTAAAAATTACCCAGGCGTAGTGGTGCATGCCTGTAGTCCCAGCTAGTTGGGAGGCTGAGGTGGGAGGGTTGTTTGAGCCCAGGAGTTTAGGGCTGCAGTGAGCCATGATCGGGCCACTGCACTGCAGCCTGGGCAACAGAATGGTGAGACCCTGTGTCTGAAAAAAGAAAATGTCCTCCAGTTGGACTGAAGGGTCTGAGGGAGTGGATTTTGAGGTCAGAATCACCCTGGTTGAGAACTACTTGTCTGAATAACACATTAGTTACAGGTGAGTATTAGGGTCACAAGATGTATGGTTTAGTGTAGAAAATAAGATTATAGGCTCTTAAACCAAATTTCCTGGGTTTCTAATCCCAGGTCTGACACTTCCTAGCATGTGATCTTGGTTTCCTCATATGTAAAATGAGAGTGATGATAGCAACTACTTTATAGGAGTTAGAGAGTGAATTGTAATGCTAATAGAAATAGGGCTGTGATTTGGCAAAAATCACCATTTTCTGCTATATAAAATAGTAACTGCAGCCTAGGAATGCAAATCATATGTAGATGGACTTTTCTGATACTTAGATAGAAAAATACTGAAATAATTCAGGCAGAAAAAGCATGAGTTCCTTTTCATGTCCCCAAGGATATTTGGAAAAACTTGAATTTTAAGAGAAACCCAGAGTGATATAGTGATATTTCACTTATATTTTTCTAAAAAGTATAAAACCCTGTTTTGACTCTAATGTTGATTCAGATTTTTTTTCCTTAAATGTAAATAGATAAATTTTACCATATGTGGACATTATGAATATAGTTTTCAATTTTGTTTATGGAATTAAGTTTTGCTTTTTTAAATTATCTCATCTTTAGATGTGGAGCAGCAAACTTAGAATCAAAACTCATCACTGCAACGTTTTTTCTTATACCTACCTTAATCTTTGTCTTCATTGAATTTAATCTTCATACATTATTCTGTCTTTCTTTTAAATCCTGGATATGTATAAAGGAGTTATAATGTGTTTTACAATTTATACTCCTACTTTATCTTATAAATCTTAAAGTATTTGCAAGCTTTTTTCTCTTAAACTATAATGAGTCTTAATTTGTGATTTATAGGACTCAATTTTTAAAATAAATCTGTTCCATAATTTGTTATTTTGTATCAATATGTCTGGCATTTCATGAAAACATGAGTAGTAGATTGATAATAGAACTAAATTTAATGTATATTTCCTAAGTTAAACTGAGAAAAATGCATGAGTGGATGTTGGGATACTTGATAAAACTGGTTACTAAACTTATTAACTGAGCAACTAAGGCTGTAGGCTTGACATTAGATTATCTTTGAAAGGTAGAAATAAAATGCTTATTCCTACATAGGTCTGTATTCTAAATGCAGTTTTAAGTATTCCACATGTTGCACATGTGTATTACACATATTTTGAACTTCCTTAAAACATCCATTAGTGGCCTATAGGTTGCTGACCTTAGAAATTAAAGGTTTTATCCGAAATTAGGGATATCTACCTGATTTTTGTATCTAAGAATAAGTTTATTCAGTATTTACTGTCTGCCATGTTCCAGGCACTGTTCACATTGCTAGACAGAGCAAAGGATGTTCTGCTCATGTGGGGAAAACAGTGGATGAACAGAGCTCTACTGGTAACAGTTTGTTAAACATTCTCAGAGCTTTCTCTTTGGGACAATTTAAATATTTTTATAGGCAGTAATTATTCTGATTTCTCCAAAAGGGTTTGGAGAGACTTTTTACCATTTTGTTTTATTATGAACCTAGTTAATCCTGATTTTCTTTACAGAGTGACATAAATAATTACCCAAATTCGGCATTTGGGTCAAAATGCAGGGTTTTTTCCTGAAAACTAAACAGCACAGATCTTACAGGATTTTATGGGAATAAACTTAAGTCAAATGGTTACACCAGTTTTTAAATAAGCAGAGATCAAAAGGCCTTTCATGTTTTTGTGATCTGCACTATTACTCATTCAATTTTCTATTTATAGTGTAGTATTTTGTGTCCCTTGTGAGCACTAATGTCAGAACAGGAAACTTTATTACTGTTAAATTTTTAATGTGCAATGTACCAGGCTTGGGACAGAGAGGAATAAGAAGGACTAAGTATAATAAGCCCAGTCCCTGCTGACAAGGTATTAAACAAGTCAGTGGTAGGGAAGACCAGTCATAAGCTATCAAATCTAATAACTTATGTCTAGCCATAGCTCATGTTCTGTTATCCACACTAAAGCAAATGACTGATAGTAAAAGTTATATTTTGCTTTAAAATAATATGAGCTATTTGGTTTATATTCCCAACTATTAGATTTAGTTGACTATTAATAGGTAAATGTTATTTCGATTCCCTAAGCAAATTAACCAATGATGGAGAACTACATAGCTGACAGAAAAATACTAGGAATGGTATGTAACCAGAAGAGTGGGTAATTACTGGGGAGCCCTCCACTGTTATAAATGGGATTGATAGTAAATATTCTAATACGACTAAAGCAACAGATTTGACAGCTGTGTGAAAGATATCCCAGGGAGGGGCAATGGTAGAGCTAGAATTAACCAAACCAGTTTGTCTGCCTTTGAATAAGTATCTTCTTTGGGTAGCCAGATTTGAATGGTAGGGCCTTGGTGTTATTGACATACAGGAGGCAATTGAAACCATGAATGTGAATGAAGTTATTTTCATAATTAAGCATGCAGAAAAAAATAGGAAAGCCTGGCCCAAGCAGGCTTGGGATGGAGAGGAGAAGGGTTGGAGTACAAAGGATTGCTATTAAAAAGACCTGGGCAAATAGCTATGCAGCAATTGAGAATATAGCATCCGTGATGGCTGTTCCTCTCTGCTTCTGTTATGCTATAGGCCAGCAGTAATTTTATTCTCTGGATGTGTCATAATTTATAGTTGTCTCTATATTCTTTTTCTCTTTTTTTGAGTCTCACCTTGTTGCCCGGCTAGAGTGCCGTGGTGTCAGCCTCGCTCACAGCAACATCAAACTCCTGGGCTCAAGCGATCCTGCTGCCTCAGCCTCCCGAGTAGCTGGGACTACAGGCACACACCACCATACCTGGCTAATTTTTTCTACATATTTTTAGTTGGCCGATTAATTTCTTTATTTTTAGTAGGATGGGATCTCAGGCTGATTTCGAACTCCTGACCTTGAGCAATCCACCCACCTAGGCCTCCCAGAGTGCTAGGATTACAGGGGTGAGCCACCGCGACTGGCCTGTCTATATATTTTGTGTGGAATTGGCTAGCAACCTAAGGAGATGATAGGATACTTTTGGAAATAACCATCCTCTAATTAGTAGGCCTATGTATATCTGTGCAGCAGCCATAAAAGCTGTTTCAGAGTCAGTGTTGGCAAATGTATTCAAATTCAGCTGCACCAAGGCCACAAATCATCTTTCAAATACATGCCTTTGCAGTATTTCTCCATATACCTTCCCAATAATGTAAACTTTTTTCTCTCTCATTCTTCATAAATGGCATTTTGGTGCTTTATTCAAAATATTAAGGAGATAAATTCTTATTTCGTATTAACTGGGTTCATGTCCAAAATCAAAGTGTTATCAGGGGCCTAGGAGAGAACCCATTCCTTGGCATTATGCCACATCACTCTAATCTCTGCCTCCATCTTCATATCTCCTCTGTGTACCTAATCCCCCTCTTCTCTCTCTTATAAGGATATTTGTT